ATTGTATAGAAACTAATTTCAGAGTTACGGACCACCTTAGCTTCCCAATTTAAAGCACCCGCTAAACTGCTAACTCCTGTCTCTATCAATGAAACAGTTCAGGTCGCCAACTGTCAATTTTTCATCATTCAATGTTTGAACCGATGGCATAGTAGTGTATTAATTGAACCACAACAACAAATAACTTTGTCTGATCAGTAATCAGAACATTGAATAAGATGCCAATGCAATTATTTTAATGGGTATAAACCATCAATTTTCCACCGAGTATAAACTGAGTAACATAAAAAAAAGCTCAAGAAGTAAGATGCATCTGAAAGGAATCTAAGATTCTAAAGAGTTTTTCATTTGCAGATTGAGTTTTAGCAACATAGAAAATAAGGGAAATTTTACCATATCAACTAGTCTATTTCATGGAATCTGAGCATGTGTATTATGAATCATAAAATCCTGATTAGCGGTGCATGGGTCATAATTTATGATATCATCTGTTTAATCGTCAGGATAAAGATTTCTGCAGTGAAAAGAAGTTGGGCTGCTTTTAAGATCTAAATTTAAATCAAGTTCAGCCTAAAGTTGCTGGTTTGGCGTACCTCTCCCTCATATAAGAAGTTGTTCATCCTGTTGAAATAGAGGTCAGGAACATAGGCACACTAAACTGCCTTACCAATAGCCAACTTGGAAAATTTACACATTTTACATCCCTTTTTCCTAGGACACTAGTATTGGAAATGAAAACAGGAAACAACCACGAGAAAGACTCCCAAAATGTCTAAGATACAGCGGATAGCATAAGATAAGGCTTGGAGCTTGACCCAACAATTTCCCTCCTTTGTTTGTTTCACTTTTTACGGGAAAAATTGAACTATGCTATTGCAAAACCGACAAGTGAAAGAAACAAGTATAAAAGGAGATGCAAAAGTGAGGAGAAGAATTAAATATGTTGCATACTTCGGAATAGATGATTCTCTAACTTCCTCGAAACATGAACTCGTATACAAGTAGCCTGTGATCGTCCTCACAGCAGTATCCGATCAACTTAACCAAATTAGGATGCCGGAGCTGGCCCAGGAAATTGACTTCTGTCTATGGTGGTGGCGAATAAACAAGATGACGAAGAGTTAAATTGATTTAATCAAATCAATGAAGAAATAACGTAAGTAAAATCATTAACAAGGAATCGAAACATACAAGCCACTCGCGATGTCCCTGAAGACCCTCCTTGTTCAGAACCTTGACAGCGACAGGAAGGGATTTGAGTCCAACTCTCACATTCTCGTCAATATAACCTTTATAGACAGTGCCGAAGCCCCCTTCTCCGAGGATATAATCGGAGCGAAAACTCTTCGTAATAGTCTCAAGCTCATACAATGTGAAAGCAATGACATGAGTATAGAGTAGTGTATTCTTCCTGGCATCTTCGAAGTTGTGCCGCGGGGTGGAAATGTCGCTCAGATCTGACACAGACCGATGGTGCTTCTTGTCGCTGGCAGCACTTTTAGATGTCAAGGACGACATGTGCAGCTGTTGAACTGCCAAATTCATACATTACTCAAAATGTAAGTCAATTCACCTTAATTCCACGAGTTCAATTTCACAATGCATAAGCATTCAATTCAGAATTAAAAACACAGCAGAGACACCAATACTGAGTTTGATAGGTTAGGTCAGAACAGTTCAGATGATAAGAAAATAAAGCAATCCAGAAATTGAGAAATAAAATAAGTAACAGATGATCAGAAAGTGAAAGCCAGAGCCCCTAGATCTGGAGGTGGAACAAGACAAAAGAAGAAGAAGAACCTTGAGCATGGAGACAACAGCGGATTCCTCTCTGGTGCCACAATTGCCCATTGAAGAGGTGAAGAAGAAGAAGAAGAAGGACGAACGACGAAGAATGTAGGAGATGGTGAGAGAGTAGCAATGGGAGTGAGAGGCTTGGTGGTGATGAAGGAGCACGGGATGTTGCTATCCCCGAGGCCCAGAATTTCATTCTTCGCCTCCTCTACACCTTTCCTTTCTTCGCTCTTTCTATTTTACGGTTCCAATAATACCGTATTTCTAACAATAATGTGCCTCTCACATCAAATCTCTTGCGTGGCCCCCCAACAAAATAAATCCAGTGAATCCTCACATCTTTAATCACTTCATCAGATTAAAAAAATGATTAAATCATTAATATTGTTTGAAATTAGAATAAATTTCTAATTTTATCAATGTTAAATAAAAAATTTATCTTTATATTAGATTATTTCTTATAGTTAATCATTTATAGAGATAACATTGGAAAAAATTAATTATCCCATCAATATTTTATATTAAGGATCATAAATCTCTTTTAAAAGGTAACTAATAGTATGTATTGAAGGAATATTTTTTTAATTCTTTCTCTATCTTATTGATGAAGAATATTTTTAAAATTATAAAAATATTGAGATTATAAATTATATTTAATAAATTTTATTAATATATATATTTTATTAAAAAATATTAAAAATTAAGATGGAGGGAGTATTAACTTATAACCATGGTTAATTGAAGTGAATTTTTTGAGCAAAAAACTTGAACTGCTTTTACATTTTATTTTTTTTTTTTCCAAACAAGGTGATATTTAAAAAATTGCTAATGAAAAAGTTTTACATTCATGTAATTTAAACAAACTCATTCCTAGATTAGTTTGTGTTGAATTTAACTAACTTCGAGAAAAATGTGTCCAGTGCTACTAATGCTTGTATTTTTATTTTATTTTATCAATAAACTGCAAAAAGCTGTAAACTTTGTTTTTCAACCAGACAAAAGCTGTTAACTTCGAAAACCGTTCAAAAACTTTCACATCACGTGCGGTCATGACTCTGGCGCAGACCACAACGTCCGTCAGGATCTTTTCTCGCTCCGCTATTATCTTTTTAACTGACTCAATTCATGAGAATTGCACGGTACAAAAAGTAAAAAATATACTAAGATATTTTTACTATTTTAAAATAATTAATATATTATTTAAAGTATTTTATAATAAATAATTATTTTATATTTATTTTAAAATAAAATATATTATTAAATAAAGATAAATACAAAGAGATTGTGTTAGCTTAAAAATAATTACTTTTTCCGTTAAAAATATAAATATTTTAAATTTTAAAGTGTAATTATTATTTTTTCAAAAGCATCTCTATTGATAATAACTTTATATTCATTATAAGGTATTTAATAGAGGTAAATGTGAAAAAAATAGAGTTAGTTTGAAAGTAAATAATAACTTTATCGGGGTAAAATTTAATTAAAAATGTCTTATATTTTTAACAAAGGGAGAAACTAATATTTTTATGGAATAAGATTTTAAAAATATACTACCTTCATTCAAAAATATAAAGTATTTTTTAAGAAGTTACATATTTAAAATATAAGGCATTTTTTAATCTTTTAAAATGTAATGATTATTTTCTTTTCAAAATGCCCTTATTAATGAATGAATTTATATTTATCATAGGTGTTCAATACCGATAAATATAAAAAAATAAGATTGATTTAAAAGTAAGTAATTATTTTATAGAGGTAAAATTTTGTTAAAAATGTCTTGCATTTTTTAACAGAGAGAGTATTACATTTTTAATAGAAAGAATATACTCCCTTAGTTTAAAAATGTAAGACATTTTTTGAGAAATTAGACTTACATTTTTAAAGAGTTAGATGTTTAAAAATGTAATACATTTTTAGTTTTTTTGAAGTGTAATCATTGTCTTTTTTAAAAAATGCCCCTATTTATAATGACTTCATATTATTGTAGGGTGTTTAATAGGAATAAATATAAAAAGAAATGAAATTAGTTAGAAAATATATAAACTACTTTATTGAGGGTAAAATTCAGTTAAAAATACTTTATATTTTTTAATAAAGGGCATATCTTTTATTTATTAAAAATATCTCAATTTTTAATTGTATTTTTATTAATTAAAATTATATAAAATATAATTGTAATAATGTGGTCAATAAAATATAAAATGACGCTTTATTTTTTGTGCAAGGCTATCATTTTTTTAGGTTTTAAAAATATTATTAAAAATGAAAAGATGAAAATAAAATAAGGAAAAATAATTATAAAATCTCTTTGAATTATGTAAATGATATTTTAATCTCTTAAAATGTTATAATTTCTCTGAAATCCCTAAGAACTTTTTTATCATTGAGGAATTAATATAAATGATCAAATTACCCTGATTCAAATATCAATTACCATTCATAATTTTTGTTATAAAATTTGCAGTATTTCTTCTTAAAATCGCAATAATTCAATAGCAATTTACGAGCTTGCATTTGAAAGCCTGATATTCCTCAAATGTTATATATGTAATAGTCATTCACAAGTTTTATTCTAAAATTAACAACTTTTTTTAAATTACAAGAATTCAATAACAATTCACAAATTTAAATTAAAGGCAATTTGATCATATATATTAATTCTTTAATGACAAAAAAGTCCATAAGAATTTTAAGAGAATTATGACATTTCAAGATATTAAAAATATTATTTATATAATTTAAAGAGATTTTATTATTATTTTTTTATAAAACAATGTATTTCGCCACTTTTGTATGGAGCTATCACCATATATTTTCTATTGTGACACTTACACCCTATCCAAACTTGAAGTACTAAAAATCCTCGCAGTTCATTACTTGTTTCTCTGTCATATACTTCTTCTACTCCTTAACCTAACACAATTTTAAATTTTTGTTATTAATATAAGGTAAAATTAGAGTAATAAATTTTATTTTTTTAAAATTTACACCTATTTATTTAATACGGTTGAATTCCTCAATGGCAATTTATTATGATTAAAAAATTGAAAGGTTACATTTTTTATAATTTTAAGGAATAATAACATTTCTTAATAAGTGCAAAGTTAATTAATTGTCTTGTATTAAAAATTGAATAAAGTATATCAGTAGCCAAACTTGTATTTCAAAAACCATATCACATTGAACAAGGTCTCCCATTGTAGTACTTGTGAGTGGGAATGCTAAAAGTATAAGTATTGAAAAGTAAAAATGAGTTAGTAAATATGTCAACACAATGAAAAGGCTCACTGTATGAAAGTGGCCAACCTCAACCAATCCAATTGAAAACTGATAATTTGTGCCATGCTTGTGATGTGGATGTGGTGTCAAGTATTTTTTGCAAAGATATTTTTGCCAAAAATAAAAATATTTATTTAAAAATAGCTTACCAGAAAAATTCTTAGATTTACATATTTCAAATATTTAAAATGGTGGCTTTATTATCCATTAACCGGAAATTATTTCTATTAAAACCTTAATCGAGTTTCTTAATTTGTTTTAAATTCCAAATGTCTAGAGACAATATTTTAATGGTATTTTATTTTCTACAAACTGGTGGTTTATTGAGCTCAGTCATTTTTGTCTGATATCACGTTTATAAAAGGCATAGGCAACGAGTTTCGGTACACGGCTTTTGAGCTTTCGGGCTTCTCTCTCATGTTCTGCCTTTTTCAGTTTTGATTTCTCCCCCTCTATTATTTATGTTGTTCTGTTCCCTATTGGTTTACCAGAGGAATTTGTTTAATTCTGGAGAACTATTGATGAATGTATAAAGGTACTTTTAAGGACAGTATCTTTAAATATTACTCAAATTAGTTTTACTTCACTATTGCTTATAGGGTCCACCGAATGTGGTTAAATAAATTATAAAATCCATTTCTAACTTTTCACTCAATTTTGACAATGATCAAATGTGTAGAGTGTTTCGTTCCTTTCTAGATTGAATATTTTACTTACCTACTCATTAAAAAAAAAAAAACTTCATTTATATCAAAATAGTACTTTAGTTTAATTACATGAGCTATCAAAGAAGGTAACCCTCCTCAGAAGTGACTAGGGAGCACCCACTAGACTGGTTTTGCAAGTAATGCTTTATTAAATAAACTTGATTTTCTAATGCTAAATCCATCCATGTCTTTTAAGCATGTGACCATGATTTGATTTTTGGTCTGTACATACAAGAAAAAACACCTTTTGAGAAATGTCAATCCCTTAAATGAAAATATAATATTTTAAGGAATTAGTTTCTAACACTTGCACTGGGATATTATGAAAAATCAAGTAGATAAATTTGTTATGTGGGGTGGGTTTTTTCATTGCTACGTTTTCTCTTTATTATAAATCAAAATTGTTCATATTGAATTTATACTTTTAAAAATTATTAAATTTAAATTATTAAATTTAATTTGATGATTTAGGAATGCAGTGATTCCTCCACCATAGAGAGGAAAGCCAACTCTAATGCATTTATGCCCAGTCTCACTTTCTCACCTTTCAAAAAAAAATACCACCTACTCAATTTCATGTTATTTGAAGATCAAATAGATAAGGTAGAAATCTTGGAAGAAAGAAAATTATAAAAAAGCTAAATAGAACATGACATTTATCTGCAAGCATGTAGGACTCAAGTGAAATTATGTTAAAATAAAAAGTAAAAAGTGCTCTGATTTATTGAAAATGCTTTTTAAGTGTTGA